CTAGCACTCCACTAGCCGAGTGATGCTTTCGGTTGGAGCAAGGTGCCTTGTAGCCTTGGAAGCTGCGGCCCGGATCAAGGTTGACAACGAAGGTGAGACTGCCGCGTTCGAAGACCAGCACTTTGTCCATCGCATTGCATACTGTAACGAACTCGTGCTCCGAACTGAGCCATTTGAACCGGTTTTCGAGTGCCTGCATCAGTTCGTCAAAGTTCTGAAAATACTTGTAGCGCAAGGCCTGGTCATCTGGCAAGTCCCAGCGCCGCCTGCAAAAGTGGTGGCTCCAGTCGTTGCTCGCCTGCGGGAAATCTACCCATTCGGGGTGGCCAAACTCGTTGCCCATGAAGTTCAGGTAGCCAGCACCCCCCAAGCCAAGCACCAGCAGCCGGAGAACTTTGTGCAGCGCCAAACCACGGTCAACAACGATCGAAGGCTCCGGGCACTCTGCCATGCTCATCCCATAGTACATCTCTTGATCCATAAGCCAGAAGGCAATGGTCTTGTCGCCGACAATGGACTGGTCATGAGACTCCAAATATCCTATACACTTCTCCTTCCACCGCCTGTTGGTGAGAGTGTGGCAGATGTGACCCACATCCCAACAGTCATCAGGGACTTCCTTTAGGAGCTTGATGAACATGTCAGGGATTGCCATCGCCAGGCGATAGTCAAAGCCAAAACCGCCATCTTCGATAGGAAGGCATAAGGTCGGCATGCCACTAACTTCTTCTGCCACGGAGATTGCAGATGGCACCAACGAGTGAATCAAGTCGTTTGCCAGCATCAGATAGACTTGCCCCTCAAAATCTGCATCACCCCCGAAATAGTCATGATAGCTTCCAGAATAGCCCTTGCCTATTCCGTGCGAGTGATACAGCATGGATGTGACTCCGTCAAACCGGAAGCCATCGAAGCGAAATTCCTCCAGCCAATACCGAATGTTGGAGAGCAGGAAACGAAGCACTTCATGTTTTGTGTAGTGAAACAATTTGGAGTCCCATTGAGCATGATGGCCTTTGAGACCACCGTGGGTATAACAGTGATCAGTGCCGTCCATCATCGCAATGCCATCCAACGAATTTGACGAGCAATGAGCATGGACCAGGTCCATGATGATTGTGAGCCCTAGTGCGTGGGCACGGTCCACAAGCTTCTTTAGTTCTTCTGGCGTTCCACATCGGCTTGACGGCGCAAAGTAGGAAGTGACATGGTAGCCGAAAGATCCATAGAAGGCATGTTCCGCCACTGCCATCAGCTGCACTGTGTTGTAGCCCAGGCGTTTGATTCGGGGAAGCACACTTTCTGCAAATTCTACATAGGTGGCCACTTTGGGCTCCTTTGAGCTCATGCCAACATGCGCCTCATATATCTTTGGAGACGCAGGCTTGAGCGGCCTCACAGGGAGAGCCAAGGGATAATTCACCATGGGATCATAGGCTTCGGGCTGTCCGGATCCCTTGACTTTGCTATCAGGTAGGTTTTTCCACTCCGGCCTGTCGTGCTTGAACACGAACTGCTCCTCTTTGGGCGGGGACCAGAAGACACCGTTGAAAAGATTGGTGTTGGGATCCTGCCACGCCAGCCGAGTCCAAGCAGGCACCCTCTCGATCCACTGGCGGTCGTTGGTTTCCACTCCTGATGACACGATTCTAGATTCTACGCCTGCTTAATACTTTTTAAACATTCTCCTACCAACGGGCGGCTGTAATCACGCATGACACCACGTGCCGACGAGGGTCGAACTTTCACCTGGCTCTTGTGCGGGATTGCTGGCTTGCCCCCAGGTAGATCTTTCAGCTGCACAGACCAGTGCCCGAAGCCCTGACAGGGCAGCAAGACATAAAACGAAGTGACGGTCGGCTATCCTGCACACGCTCCCTGCAGCTGTGAATACATTGCTTTGAAAAAAAACACCTACGTTCGTCTTGGATGGATGCAATCAGCTTTCATTCTGGAGGTGCAGACTGCACATGTGTGTAACACAACAACCTGGCCCTGTTGTTCTGCACGAGCCTCGGACTTTAAAGGCACCGTGTTTTCCCATTTGTTGAACTCGCCGATGAGGAACACTTGCTTGGCGTTCGGCAGCCATTCACGGTAAGTGATGCTGGTTTCCTGCAAGCAAACACTGCATCCTGTAATGAGCAAGGACTGGAATGTGACAAGGTCGACACCCAACGTGCATTCCCAAAACGGTACGACGGACTGACCCTTCTGTTGAATGGCAGAAAGCGGGTCTGTCGCCTTCGCCGGAGCGGGGCTGTACGGCGCCGAGGACGCTTTCTGCATCCCGCCTGGCGCTCCCCACTCCCACTCTGCGCCGGCAGCCCCTCACACCGCCAGGTTCACCAGCTCATCCGCCGCGGATCGCCGCGGCGTTCACGGCGAAGTCGAGGTCCTTGACCGCCTTTTCCCCACGTGTGCAGGATGCTCTGCTATGCACCGGCATCTGGACTCTGGTCCACCTCATTCGCCTGCCATCTCACATTCTACCCAGGAGACTGCGTCGGAGACGTTGGCTTTGGACGGCACCCGCCGAAAGTCAGGGAGCCAGTCTACCAGCACTGCGATGGACCGAAATCCGCCAGGACGCCGTTGACCGCTGGGTTCTTTCCATAGCCCTCTTCGTCATTCGCCAGGGCCCACTGGCCAGCGACGTTGTCGATGAACGCCAGCCACCTCTGTGACAACGACTAACGCCAGCACCCGCGCCAGGATCTCCAGGACATGGCCTTCCTCGCAATGAAGAGGTCGAGGAACTCCGCTGGGGCCGTGCCCTCAGTGCCGCCTGGTGTCCGACGTCGCCGCCGCGTCAAGCTCGCTGGTGTAGATGGGCTGCAGCACTGCCTTTCCAAAGGTGGACTGAGTGACGAAGTTAAGAGTATACCACCCCATCGCGACCGGCGCACAGGCAGGTCATTCCCGCTCTCGGTCGGTGTACGCGTGTGCCGGGTCGGCGGTCGGCCCCTCAACCACCGTCGCGAGCTCCCGCCGTCGGTCGACCCCGGTTCCGCCAACATCGGCTGGCCAGCACGCCGGCCTGGACCAACGCCGACGCCTTGTAATGAGGGCTGATTCGACATCCTGTGTCCCGACCGTCGACAGGGTCGGAAGTGCTCCTTCGCACCTATCTCGACCAAGGCCATAGCCAACCGAGACACCTCGGATCGTTCGCCAGGGTGCCGGGGAACAGGTCTCCTCGGGCCACCTGCACCTGACGAAAGAAAAATAACACGAGAAAAACAAAAAGAGAGAAGCGACGAAGACGAGCGACATGTCAGTCCACTGTCTCGCCGGCCTTTTCCTTCCACAGCACTGTGCAAAATGCTGGGTGAGACCCGCCGGCACGTATGGCCCGACATGCCTCGAACATGATTGGGGCGGAGAGGCTCGCGAGAGCATCCGCCGAAACATGCAGCATAGTCTAATTAAACTGCAGGCGTCGACGACGAAGGCGGCGACAAGTCGTCGAGCCAGCGAACCTGTAGAGGATGCCCTCGTCGACGAAGATGGCCGGCACAGCCGGCTAGTAAAAGCGACCCCGAGCGCCGGCACGGTGGCACTCCACACAGTCACGGTGCCCGTGTGCCGCCAGGTCGCCGAGGGCTGCCGACGGGGTTCATGCAATTGCCGCCGGCTGGGCATGGGCGCCCACACCAGCCGACGACCCAAACCTCTCAGTCGAGGCGTTCGGGGAGCTTTTGACTCTGACGAAGAAGTAGGCGGCCTTCTCCGACGCCGGTATCATGGGGCCCTCTCGCCGCCCTCTCCTCCAGTTCGGCGAGCTGCTGGATGTTCGCGACGACGAGCCCCGAGATCCTCGGACGACCTGCTCGTCGGTGCAGGCGCCGGCCTGCTCCATCGCGTGGATGTGGTGGCGCCATGCGTCGCTGCAAAGCTGCCGGTACTGCCGGTGGATGTCGGCCTGCAGGGTGTCCGGATCTGCGTCCGGTTTTTGCACTGCCGAACCGGTCTCCTTGTCGGCCCTCCGGCAGCCGGTGCCGGGCTGGCGGATTTGGCACGTGGCCACTACCGCGTCGGCCTCCGCGGTAAAGCCGGTCTGGTGCCAGATCGCCGGCGCTGGCCGGCGGGCTCCTCCAACAGCCATCGCCAGCATCCGACGCTGAAGGCGCGACCAATGCCCAAAGCGGAGGGCGAGGTCCACGCCAGCGTCGACGGCATCTTCCAAAATGAAGACGGCCACCGCGCTCTCGGACGCGGTGTACGACGACATGGCGCCGGCAGGAGTACGAAGCTCTGAAAAACGTCGGGCGACGCAAAGCCTGCAGTAGCTGCGGCATATGCGTCGTTCGACGGACTTGTCCCTGCACAAATTACATGTGTTACGCCACAATATTCCAATACTGTTATAGTACCATTATAGTATTATATTATAGTATAATAGTAACAATATTGTCCTGCCGGGTGAAGCCAAACTTGTGATGGCCCTGGGCGAATTTCGCAATTCCCCCTTCCAGTTTCTCCAACTCATCTTTCCACCACCTGGCGAACTTCACAGTAGGCCATGCACGACTTCCTTTTCCAACCCTACAAAAACCCAACCAAAAGCCCTGACAAAACCCTCTAAGGGTCTATGAGAACCTTAAAGTTGACGATTCCGGGGCTTCAAGCAGTCGCCTGAAGCTTTTCACTCTCTCCCAGATGAGGTCTCCGACACACTTCAGGGTCGGATCCACATCGAACACTTTCAGTGACATGGCGGCAGACCCAAACCATGATGGAAATTTGATGTGAAAGCTTGTTTGGAGGCTTGTGGGTGAGTGACATCGAAAAGTTAGGCTCGCTGCCTGATTGCACTACGTCTGACGACCGTGCAGACATTGAATAACTGTCCGTGTCATATTCTCAATGAGCATGCAACACTGTACGCTGCAGATTGTGGCTGCGGTCGCCTCGGGCCATGTCCGACCATGGTTGGATCAGGTGGCGCTTGTGGGCGGGCTTGACTGCTGTATCACGAAGCGCTCTGGGGTGCCAGCGGAGCTGTCTGGCACGCTCGCAATCTTTCACCTGGTCCAGTACAAGAGTATGCGTTCGCAGATCCGACAGTGCAGCAAGCTCCCTGCCGAGCTTGGACTTTGCCCGAAGAACGAACTCAGGGCTGGCCTCGAGGCAAAGCGAAAGGCGTCAATTGGCACTGCTTTGTGACTCGCAGATTGCGTGTCGCCTCTGGAATTCCAATCTTGTCGCAGAGTCTCCTGCAGACTTGAAAAAAAACAGCCGAAAGCTCCTTTCAACCTCTGCATCTTGCAGGGCTCCTGCTTCCATGCAGACCCAAGCTGTCGATTTCAAAGCTCGACACCTGGAGGATGCATTTCCCACGCGTCCGACTGACGGACACTGCCACCTGGGCCCGGCACGGCGCGAGCTGCATGCCCGGCGTCCCAAGTCTCAGTTGGAGACCAGGCCTGCAGCAAAACGAGGAGAGGAGGCAGAAAGATGCAGATACTGCAAGCATGCACATACACATTCAGACACATACAACATTCGCACTTCGACTCGACTTGGACTTAGGCATGGCTGGGGTCTTCATGGGTGACTGCGACTGGCGGCAGAGAAAAAGTAAATGCAGTTCCTGGTTCAGAGTGTGGCAACCGTGCACGCATGGAAGCTGATGTAGATTTCGGCAAACGTAAAATCAAAAGCTCCGATGTTGCTGGTTGGATCCTGTCCACCTTGTGTCTGCAGGCATGAGGTTCCCAAACCTCATCCCATGGTGTTGCCTTCACAATGCGGCCCCTGCCTGCAAAATCGAAAGAAGCACAGAACGACTGAGCGCTGTGTGCAAGTGTTTGACACACAAACCCCCTGACTCCAATGCAGAAGTAATGTCTACGTGTGTATATATATATATATGATATATGATATATAGGTACATTCAGGGTATCGGGATACTGTTACTGCTCCCGCACAGTGAGCTCCGGAGGCGATTCCACGGCTCCCGCTGTGATTCAGTGCACATCTGAAAACCAAAGTCACATTCGACCGCACTCCCATGGCAGTGTGAGCGTGTATTCACGCTGCTTGTGAGTGGAAGCCGTGCTCCATTGCGTCATCAGGTGTTCCTATCTAGTTGTGTAACTGCGCTGCTTTAAAATGTGGTGAATCGAGGAGCAGCACTAAGAACGAATCCAAAGCCTAAAAAGACAGACTAGAAAGCCTGACACGTCGAAATCTTACAGCTTGCCCCGCTAAGACACCTTGAAGAATTTGTCCACAAAGGCGTGAAGATGCAGCAGCAGCTGGCCCTGACCTGCGGACTGCAGAGGCAGCAGGAGGAAAAGCCAAGCTGCATAAGGCTGCATAAGGAAAAGCCAAGCCCAGCACAGGGCAGACTTGCATCTGCCAAGGAGCAGAGCGCCTGCCCCTGTGAAATTCACGCATGTCAAGCGAGTCGAGTGCGTCTTGGCGAGACATGGCTGATCCTGCAGATGACTCGCTCCACGCAGCGCTGCGTCAGAGAGCGCATCCGAGAGCGGCCTCAGACTGCTCCCAGCTGACCGGGGCACGGCAAATCCTAGCTTCGCCATGCTTCGCCGTAGGCTTAAATCCTTCGCCCGACCTTGGCAGCATTCCAAGTGCCGAGGTGCTGGGTCATCGAGCTCGAGTCCACAAGCCACCACCTGGCAACGAATGTGATAACAAACACAAAACACGGAGGTGGGAGGGAAGGTGCGTGTGTACAGGGCCTCGTGTTGGCTGGCTCTTGAGGAGAAGGCTGCAGGACCTCTTTGGACAGAAGTCAGCCGGTGCGAACACTTCGGAGAAAACGCCGAAGTGCGACAGTAGCTGTGTTTCGGTCTGGGATCGCCTTTGGCACTGCTTCCTCCGCAGCTGCGTGTAGCAAGGCAACGCCTGCCTGAACTGACTCTTTTCGAAGAACATCCGCAACTCCAGCTCTGCACATGTCACCTTCGGCCCTGGCATAACTTGACGAGGCTGGGCCTTGCGCAAAGTTGCACCTCGGTTCATCATGCTCCGAGGTCTCTGAACCCTGGGATACCACAACTTGTAAGTTCATGAATCCGTCCCTGCAGAAGACTGAACTTGATACTCTGGCCCTGACAGATTCTGTGCATCAAGCTGCTGCAGCTGCCCGGCCTCGGTTTCGTGTCAGAGCTTTCGGCTCCGAGCAGCCGGTGTAGTGGAATCCGACTGACTGCGCGACACAACGTACAGCTGCCGCATGCAGAAGCGGACCGCTCCACACCTGGCTGCAAAGGTCCAAATCCCCCAAGACCCATAAAATCAAGAGCTGGTGCCGGCTATACCCGGAGCAAGCAAGTGAGAATGAAAAAAAACAGTCTTGAGAGCGAGAGCGATTCGCGGTGGTCTTCGAAGCTCAACAGCCGGGCAGACCATCAGCGCAGCCAACGACCAGGCTGAGATAGCACAATCCACATGCCCGAAGTGCTGAACTCGTCGGGAGGCCTGGCATCCGAGGTATCGTGGGAGCATGGCTTCCTCCACTCCTCCCCTGCAAAAAAAAGGCCTCTGTGGCGGTGCGGGCAATAGCCGGCAGGCCTGGCAGCAAACCCTGCAGCAAAAGCCGAGCCTTGTCCTTTCCCAGCCTCGGGCGCGCAAGGCTGCCTCGGTGCACGGATGCTCTGAGGGCGAGTGCACGAGGTCTACGATGGCCAGCAGGTTGAGGTCGGAACGTGAGCTCAGGCAATGTTGGTGATGTGCTGGGCCTCAAACCCTGAAAGACCTCACTGTTCTCTCGACTCCACAAGCATGGAAGCCTTGGCAGAACACCCCTTCGCTAAGGAAAGGACTGCCTCTTTCGATGGACACATCGAATAAGTCCTGGGGCTACTGGATGAAACATACACTCCGGATCTGCAGGCCAAAGCTGCGTAGGACTGGGACGACCAACACAAACCCTGCTCCTCATTCGTGGTACCCAACGTGGCAGAAGCCCAGAGCAAGTTGGAGGCATTCTGCGGTGCTGGCTCTTGCCTCTTTCTTCAAAGGGGCAGAAAGCAATTAGAAAGGTTCAGCTTGCGGCCTCCTGCTCAGACTCTGCATCGTGATCACGTGGAGCAGCGGCAGGTCGCCGTAGCTCGAGGTGGCGGCTGTCCAGGCTCTGTTGGACCTGAAAACTGCTGGTCCCACACGTGCCAAGGCACCTGCTGGCACTTCGTGAGCTCATGAGGAGTCAGCAGATCTTGTGCCGAAGAGCTCAGTATCTTGTCCTGGCTTCACTAAGAGGATCCTTTCAGCATTCGCGTCTGAACAACAAACATCCGTGCGATGCCTGAGCCGTCACCACAAGGGCCTCGAGGAACGTGTCAGAGCGGAGGGCTGTGCCTGCCATCTCCTATGACCTTGGCCGAGCCCGAGGCCAACAGACTACCGAATGATGGACCCAAGCTGTAGGAATACCCAGGCCCTCGCAAGTTGGACGAGCCCTGCGGGCCAGAGCCGGTTATTTACTCCAAGGCCTCTCGCAATTCAACTGCTCATCTTCATCTTGTCTGACCCCCCGAGGCAGCTATGTAGTGTTACACTGTTACACCGAGCCACTTTAGATGACAGCATCGTGGACTTGCGGAGCAACATCGACCTTCCTGCACTTCCTGGAACAAGTCCGGACTATCCCACGAAATTAGCAGCTGCCCAACAGACAAACAAGTTTTCCTCCACGAGAAACAATCTTGCCATAACAGATACCTCAACATCGGGTGGTTCGATATCTGCCCGATCTACATGCTACAGTGCGGCATGACTGTGGAAAGCTGCTATTTTGAGCTCAATTTTCTTGAGTAGCTTTTGATCTGTACCTTTGTGGCAGCTTCAGTTGGAGTGGGCTGGCTTGAGTTCTCTGGTGCTGGGCTTGCAAGTTCCCCTGTTGGATCTTCTTTTGAGCTTGGGGCCCTCTGCAACTGCTGCGAACTCGACGCCATTCTGTATCCATCTAGTGTTATGATGTTAGTAACCTGTTAGTAGCGCTGACCATTCCGTGGGCCTCATTCACCATTTCCCTACTCGAGAAGAAACCGCGTTGACACCGACTGGCTTACAACCTCTTCTGCCTTGTCTCGAGCACCACACACACTTCTTGGTTCCGTCCGAGCTATGATGGTGATCCAGGCATCGAGCTACGAAACGAGCCCGAGCCCTTCCAGCATCCAGCACGCATCGTTGCCGATGAGTCTGTGGCAAGTGCTGCTATTCATCATCAGCAAACGGAGACTGCTTGAAAGGATGATGCGCACTCGATGAGCTTCGGGCATACTTTCGAGGACAGAGAATCTTGTTCATCACACGGCTGCGGTCCGGTTCCCAATGTAGCCGAACAATTAGTCACGTAGCAAGTGCAAATCGATGACTAGCGGGATGTGTACCCGTCATGCAAGAGATGAACCAACAAGAAACTCGCATAGCAGAACAGAAAGTTTGACAACTTCGTCACCGGAACTCCATGCGCTCTTAGCATCGATCTACGTCAGACAGCCACATTCGTATCGAACGATGCCCATTTCACCACAGCACAGGTGTTCCTGTCCGAGGACTTGGTCTGTTCGGTCCGGGAACAACACTCTGCCACACACTCAAAATCTGAAAGGGAATCACACTCCACCTTTGTGGCGAAAACAACGGCTCACGACTTTCATAAACAAATCGCTGCAGCATAGAGTTCAGAGCAGTCGATTGTGGGGGGGAGTCACTGCCTTATACTGCCTTGAGGCCACGACGTGTTAAACATTATTGGCTCTTGCTGAAAAAAGACAACCCTTATACCGACCACCGCAACATACAAGAAAGACCTTCAGCACTCCTGGCGATGCCTTCGACCAACACCGACGACAAGATGCTACCCCAAAAACCGGACATGTAGGCAGAGAAGCATGGCAATACAGCATGCTGCAGCCGAAGATAGGTGGGATAATGACAGGAGACTGGTAGGATGCGATACTATGACCCAAGCTAAGCGAGAGGTTTGCTTGCTCGAAACGTCTGGAAGCCCACGATACCTTAAATTGGAAACGATCCTGTGCCTTGTGGCAAGCGCACTGCATCAAGGCTCTGCTGTCATGCTGCAGCTAGCCAGCAGCTCGGGCAATGTTGGACCTCCGGCTTCTCAAGCTTAACGGGCCCATCACCCGTGTATAAACCCGTGTAAACATCTCCTGATAACTCCTCTGGGAATCGAGCAAATCTCTTGGCAAAAACATCTCGGTCTGCAGCGCCTGCACCCATCAGAGAGAAACAGCGGAATCCCTGCAGAATGCTTCTTATGCTCCTGTGACAAACAAAGCGCCTGCTACAAGGCAGTCATGAACGGCACGTGCAGGGAGTGCAGGGTGGCAGAGCTCCAGGTCGCATTGGATGAATTTTGCGCTGTGGACCTGAAGGCGGAAAACCAACGCTTTTCCGAGACATGGACTCCGAAACAAGTTTCAAGACTTCCAAACTCTGTCTCAACCGTTGGCTGACACACAATTGCCATGTTGGCAAGATCTACTAGTCCGCTGCAGGAAAGAGCTCGCACGAGGGCACTCGCAAACGTGAGCAACGAAAGGTCTGGCAGGGCAAGCATCGGAGAGTAGCTGTTTATAATCAGCTCGGGGCGCTTCCTCCTCCTCGAAAAGCCATGGCCCGACCCAGCCCAGGGTTCGGATCGGGCACGTTGCCTGTCTGAGTGCAGCGCTCAGGAAGGCGCGGTGTAGCAGCGTGCCCGACGGCGGCAGCCAGCGAGGCGTCAGCAGAAAGCAGTGTGGTAGGCCTCCAAACCTTGGTGTTTTAAAAAGATCCACCGGCCTTTGCAAGCTGGGCATCCGTGGTGAGTCTTGGACGAGATTGGCAAACCCTTGCGGCACGAAGTCTCCCATACCTTGAAAGAGCTCTGCAACCTAGTGTTGACTGCTGCCAATGCTGACATGCAGCTTTATGTACACACAATCAGCAACCCGAGGCAAGCAAGAGGCATCTGTGGGCGTTCCATGTGATGGTACCTGGCTGACCCAAGATGAGTAACAGGCAGGTCACTTCCAAGAAAGCAAACATAATATGAAGATGCACCTGTTGCCCTGAAGACAAAGAACCGAAACCACGCCGGACAGGCCGAGACCGCAACCTGAAGTCCCATCGTTTCTCGAAAGTTTCCGGTCCATGAACCAAAGACACCCGAAAACCAGGCAAAGGTTGCCAAAGCCTGTCAAAAATCCCTTGACGCGATCCTTCCGTAGTCGGATATAAGCACGACTGACAGTTTCTTCCGCCTTTGGTAGGTGATCGCTTCCGGCATTCAGCGTTTGCATTTCGAGTTAAAGCTCACAAAGGGTCTTTGGCAGAGTCTTTGGGCTTGCACAACTTCTGTCGTATATAGAGACTGGATCCGTGCAGAACCAGGAGGGCCGGAGTTCAAGCATCCTTCCGTCTGTGGTCCCTGTGCTTTTCGGTTGTGTCCGTTGTGGTGACAATGCCATGCTTCAATCACTTGACCTCTGAAGAGTTGTGTTTACTTGTGCCAGGCTTGTCTAAGATTAAAGCTCCTTTTGTCTCCTGTGCAAAATTCTTGAAGCCCACCTACCTGCCCGGGGGTTGTAGATGGTCTGCACTGGCGGCTGGGCTGGGGCTGGCGTGTAGGTAGGTCAGTTAGGTGCGTGTGGTAAGAGACGCGGCAGGGCGCTTGCCAGGCGTCGAAGCATGTGCTTGTAAGTGGCTCTTGTCCCGAAAAAAGCTGCTTCAGCTTGCAAGGGCTATACTTGACTAGACATTTGCTGTGCTTCTTTGGCTGAGAGTGAAGTGAGGCTTCTTTCGTTGCCGAGGTGCTGATTGTATAGGTCAAGCTGCAAGAACGCTGTATGCAACATGCACATCGAATGGAAGCCAGCGGCACTGAACGAAGGTCTGTGCAGAAATGCCATCTTGCCATGCGCCTCAGAGCATGGTAACTCAGGCAAGTGCACCAGCCAGTACGGTTGTGCTGAGGTGTCAGACCCAAGCCAGATTTGCTGGGTTCTGCTGGGACCAACCTCCAGCGAGAAGCTAGAGCTTTTCTGGCGTCTCTGCAAGTTGCAGACATGGTCGTTGGTGCCGGACCGCACATCTGCGATGTCTGGGATGCGAATGCATCAAGAAGAACTTCGCCTGCCCATGTTTCGAAAGCTCGAAAGCACGACTCCAAAACGCCTGTCGAACTACAAGCAATCGAGTTCGTATTCTCCTAGCGCGAGGCATTAATTTGACATAAATTCTGCCTATCCTACACAAGCCGATTCCGAAACCAGAAGCACTCAATGCCCTTCGCTCGCTTTTCAAACACACAACTCGATGGGACTGGGGACAGTTTACGTGGAGGAAGGGAGACCAACATGATGGCGAGCGCCCGAAATCGTGCAGACACGACATTGCTCCTTGCGCAGGATGGCTGTCTTGGCTGGGTGCTGCATGCACCGATTTGCAGCAGCAAACATGCTTCAATTGGGTTGCTCACGTTGTATTCCAGGATAAACAAGCAGCACTCCGGAATTCGTGGAACTGCTGTGAAGGCGAATTTGCGTTAGAAACTGATCCTCCCAGGCCATTCCTTTGGTTCGGGCAGAGAATCCAAAAGTTCCATGTGTTCTTCACGTGTATGCCTTCGCCGATGCGGACATGTGTGTAGGGACACAATTGTAGATGCAAATATAAACGCACCTCAATATACAGAGGAAAGCACATGTAGACATAGATGAAGCACGATCCGAATCTACTCACCTAAACCTCTGCAGGTGTGTCGCCACGTGCATGAGAATATCTTCTTTACTATGCACAAACGCCGATGCCAGCACTCCAAGCCGCAAACACTTGTAATGTGTAAGTGCACGTGCCGTGACCTCACCTGGCTGTCACGCAGCTTCACAAAATGCTTCTACCCTAACATTCTGCCGGCATGGATCCCCAAAAAGTGATGGAGCATTACGACGACCAAGCGACCCGACCAAGACAACCAGGACCACGGCCAAACTGCACTTCCCCATCTACCTTCGCCTTCGGGATTTAGGAGCGTGGCCAAATGCTTCCCCAAAGTACTGGAGGGCCTGGAGTTTTCGAAGCCGAGGGTGGTCCATGTGTTGGAATTTAAATTTACAATGTACACATGCATACATCCATGCATCCATATGTCCATGCATCCTGCATACATGCCATCCATGCATCCATCCATGCATGAACACATACCTGCGCTTACACTCACGCTTGCAGTAACATGTACGTCTACATCTACCTTTACATATACATGCATGCAGGCATGCATACAGAAATACATACGACACGTGCGTGTGCGTGTGAATGCATGTAACAGTTACACGTGACCACATACGTATACGAATATGTACGAATGCAGTGCGATATCATGTAATGTGATGCAACCTTTCTTCGTTATACATGCAGGCGTAAAGTACTGTAACAGTCTCGAATGGGCAGGCGCCACCTCTCGAAAGGCAAAGCGATTGAAATGTATGGGCCGCACCGAACCCACACTTCGCACGCGAAGGCGGCATCAACGCGCGGCTGCGACAGAGTGCGGAAGCACGAGCGTGGTGCGGAAGGGAGAGTCGCAAAGCCGCCCTCGACAGAATGGAGTGGCTCAGAAGCCCTTGGCCTCGCATCTCGAGTCTTCCGAAAGCCCAGGCGAACTTTGCCAGTGTCGCCGGTGTCAGCTCAACCTTCAAGCGCTTGCAAGTAGCTCCTAGTGCTTGTACGCAACACTGGCTTCTGTTAAGAGCACGGCCATAAGCATCGCAGTTCGACTTTTCACAAGTGCCAGCGTCATCGCTCCACAAGCTTCAGCTTTCGTAGGTGATCGAGCAAGGTTGGCCAGGTCCACCTGAAGAGACCAATGGCACCACGACGTGAAATGCTATGTAGAAATACAGTCTTGTGACGGCAATGCTTGCATGTTGAGAGAATGCAGCTTTGTCGATGTATATTTTAATGTCGTGTGCAAAGCTGGTAGCCAGTCAGCCAACCTTGTCATGCAGTGAGTCACGATGTTCAAGCTTTTGAGCATCTGACTGCCGCAAACTCCGAAATCATTGCCGATGCCACGTACCTCCACGCACATCGCTCACGGATGTCCTGCGCGAACTAGCCCTTTACTCACAGGGTGCAGGACACTCTGCATCGACGGCTTGCTGGCGTGCGCAGTGGCGGCAAGTCTTCAAGCACCTGCAAAAAAGCTGCTGATATTCCTCTGCTCCTGACCCGAGCACCTGTTGGCTGCACCCTGAGGCCGCGGCTGTCTGCAGGATTTGGCGCGCTGCACTCGGCAAGAATACGCTTGGCAGCAGATGCCAACATGCCTGGACAGTATCTTGGGTGTCGGTCCATGAATGTACACGAAAGTCATGGGTTCAACAGACAAGTAAGCATCCGTACTTGACAAAGCCGTGTCTTGCACCAGCAGGAGAGCTGCTGACCTTGCTAGACCTCAGTGGAATCACCGACGTGCTTTGGGTCATAGCCGAACACCATTCCGACAAAAAGCTCCAAGCTCGCAGCTTGCCAGGTTCGGTGCGTCACAGGGAAGACGAGCCTGCCAGGCGGAAAAGAAGGGTGCTCATCCGAGTGGCCTCTGTCAACAACCATCTGAGCATTTGGCCGAAACAGCATCAGCCACAAGGAGTTGCACCTCTGACACTCAGCCATCGCGAGCTCGTGGTCCTTCACCTTCCTCGAGCACTGCGAGCCTCCGATGACACGAGCGTCACCGTCACCCGTTCCCGGCAAGCCTTTGCAGGATCCTGCCACGGCACACTTGCCAGCTCTAATGACACCGTGAGACATACGCAGACAAGCATGCTTTGGCACGTCAGAGCCACATTGGTAGCTTGAAGCAATTCTGCTTTCAGCATAATTCCCCCCTTCTGCATATCTCACCATGTTCCTGCGCCGAATGTTCATGAAGCCTGGCTGTGGCCGCTGTGGCCATACCAGCCTCCAGTGTTAGCAGCATCAGTGAACTTCATGTAGCAAGCCAACCAAACACATCCTACATAGATGCATAAGGCATACATACCTACCTACGTACATGCATAACATGCATAACGTAACTAACTTGCATACACACATAGATACGTACATACGTACGTACATGAATACAGACATACATACAGACAGGCGGAGAGACTTGCTTACTTTTACATACTTACTTATGCACCTTTGTTCATCAACTTGGACCTAAAGCACCGAAGTGTCTATACTAACATGTATCATACATGCATGCATGATAAGCTTGTACGTGCATCCATAGCTTGGCTAGTGTGTCGGCTGTGATCGTTCGTAGGCAGCACATCACTGGCTGAGGGCGCATCTAGTGGTGGATGCCTCGAGAGCTCTGTCTTGGCAAAGTCACACAACCTTCGACCACGGCTTGCAGCTCGAAGGTGATCTTTGTAGGTTCATGGTGTTGGGATTGCAGACATCTAAGTTGCTGACATGCTTGCAGGATGCTGTGTCGCCAGCTCACCAACTATCATGCTCCTTAGTGCAGATGATGGTAGCCATCTGAGTCAGGAACCGAGCAACAGTTCGTCTTGTGATGGGTCTGAGGCAGCGCTCTGCGGCAGCTCTCTGCTTGCAAAGGCGCCCTTGCACAGCTGAAGCATTCAGCACTGGCATCTCTGGGTCATGAGATTGGACCTGAAAGCAAAGGACATAATGGGTCTCAAAAGCCACTTCGAATGCTTGCGGAACAGGGACGACAGTTCACAACGTGCTGCTGGGGTGTTGCGGTGTAAACCTTGGCAGACTGGCAAGAGTGGCACCAGCGAGCTCGATCAATAGCAAGGAGGAGGCGACCGAGACTACGGCTGTCTTCTTCGGTGTCTTGTGTATCAAGGAAGGCAGCTGCTGACCACTGAAACTCAGGTGCTGGCTGTGGTGCAGCTTCACAGGCAAGCATCTTCAGCACGCGAGCCAGCGCCGCGTCGCGAGCCTACCTTACGAATCACATTCCCGGGGCCTGCATGATCGTTGCAAGAGTCACTTGTGGCCCTGGCAGAGTCCTGCAGGACCAAACGCTGCTTGCGAGCTCCTGACACCATGCATCTCCCAAGCAATCAGTGGTCCAGATACTCCATGAAACACACACGGCCTTCTGGCCTTGGCACTCAACTCCGTGAGCTCCAGCCCTTCTAAGACGGCAGTCACGTCGACTCCGCCAGCACGAAGAGAACCCAGTGCCCAAACCTCGGCTGCCACACTCCGAAGAGCCCAAACAAAGTTTTGTCCCAGGATCTGGGCGGATTGAACCAAGTCCTGCCAGGCAAACACCCGTGTGATCGTCACATTCAGGCCAAGCAGTCAGGAATCCTGCCGCGCTGCCGACGACCTCTGCCGAATCAATCCTCTCAGGACCTGCAGACTCCAGCGGGAAAGCAATGCCAGCACATGCCGGTGGAGGCGAATCAGGCATCGCAGGACTACACATCATTATGCAATGACTTGGATCCGCGCAAAACCTCAAATTGATCGCGGAATAATCTCCCCGAAAGAGCAAGTCAGACTTTTGCATGACTGAATTGCGATATCCGGCATCCTTGGGCGAGCCCCTACAAAAAGTATCGATGACTGAAGGAAGCTTGAAAGCTTGTCCCATTTCTCGGGACACATTTGCCGGTGGAACTGATCGGTCAGTGCACCTTTCAACCATCTGCTGTTGCAGCAGGCTATGCGTTATCTCGACACTTGGACGCGCGACGATGCTCCGCCGGTTGGGGGCTTTCGTCTCCGTCCAAGGTCAATTGAAATGATATGCCCGAATCGCTTCGAGCGCCTTCAGTTATCAAGCTTTGTGCCTGATACTGGGATATATGGCTTCCTTGTAGAATGGACAGTTGCCCAATCTTCCGAAACCCGGGTTCTTAAACAAGGAGGTCATGGCGGGGGTCAAGACTCAATGCTCTCATGCCGCTATGGCATTGACGCTCCTTGTTAAGGCTGACTGTACAGCAAATCCGACCAGCAAAACTTGGGTGCAGAAGGAAAGTACAGCAGGAGCAAGTCCCAGGTGAAGCATGGTTTGCACTCTTATTCATGTCATTCTTTGGATGACCAATGCTATGGCTGCTATGGCGGCTATGGGTGTCGGAGGGTGGTTGCTCTTACCTGTCTCTCCTCCGATGCACCGAAACGAAGAGTTTTGGTGTCTGGCGAATGCAAGATGCCAACGGCTAGTGGCAAGCTAGCAACCATGCAACTGAAGGATCGGTCTCCAACCAATCGAGCACAAGTGCACTTGTGGCAGCAGGACTCCGGCCGGAATCTTTGGCCCACAGGGACTGGTGCTACAGGTATGATGCTATAACCTTCGCATCCGTAGCTGGAGTCATGCTCAGATGCAGGATCGCTTTGCAACGCATGTGGCTGCAGTGTCCCTAGTGTTCCTTGACCTCCTTTCACTTCACCAAGTGCTCTTTTCTGCGGATGTTCACCAGCAAGCATCTACTGAGGGCTTGCTGCCCACACTCGCAGGCTGCAAGTCTATGGGGGTTTGCAGGGGCCACTGCAAGGCAATCGCAGGCCGGCGGGTCTGGATTTACGAACACCTCCGCCGACCTGACACTACGCATGGACAAAGTTTAAACATCACGACGTCGTCCTCTGAAAGGAATGAGGCTTTGTCGCCATAAGAAGACTTCGGATGTACATGTGGCTTCAGCTATGCTTCGCGGACGGCAGCATTGGTGTCGGTCGAGATCTGCCAAAGCAGGCCTCTGAACGTTAACAACCCCGAGGAGCTCGGCGCTTCTCAGTCTAAACTGTGTCTAAAACGGTGCCCAGCCACGAAGAGGCAGCTGCAAAGATCGTCCCTTGGATGGCACTGCCAGCACTAAACCTGAAAAGCCGAAAAACGAAGCTCCATCTGTGGTAACGTTCTGACAAAGCTCTTCTCATCCAGCGATCGCAAGAAACGCTCTTGCGGTGGAGTCTGCAGACAGGCTGGCCGCACCAGGCGTGCCCAGCCAAAGAAGGCACCGGCAGTAAGGCCTGTGAGGCTGTTCTGCATGTGGGGCTTAGGAAATAGAACTTAGAGCTTCGAGGTTTAGGGCTGAGGGTCTGAGACTCACCACCACGCCATCAATCAGGTCCCCAAGAGCCTACATCGGCCTTCTACTCCATAGACATGTCTAACTTGTGTGCAGTTAGTGCCCCTGCTGTAGCCCTGCACGCCTGGACAGAACGCCACTGCCAGCGCAGCCAGCAAGGACATAGATCGTCCAAGGCCGGATTTGCAGTGAACCACAACCTGACTTTGGCCAGAACCAAATGACGAAGCAAAAATCCGAACCCCAGCATACCCCAATAGTTCCACTTTCAGGGCAAGCCGAGGCCAGCGATTGAACCTGGCTCCAGGAACTTGCAACATCTGGACTTTGCTGTTACGACTTACATGAGATCCCGTTTGAGGCATACGATGTCGTTTCGACTCGGATACGGCCTGGGCAGGATTGGATGCGATTTCGGTGCGATTCCATTGTGCTGTTGATAATCTGATATGATTGCGCTTTGAGACATCTTGAGACTGTGAGAACATGGGAAATCCTACCCCGATCGTACATAATCTTTCGATGCTTATCGGAACTGTTTGGATCGACAGAAACGCAACCGCAGCCGCTAGCGCATTCAAGTTTTAACAAACCAAAACCGTAATCAAAACGTACCCAAATCATAGCGACATGGGGCCCCGGAGCAACCCCACTGCCCAGCAATCGCGATCGCATTCAACACCCAATGTATCGGACTGACACCGTAACAAAAAGCATCTGCAAATCATTTATGATGCCTAAGGAGACCCCTTGTTTGGGACTCACAGTTTGGGTGATCGTCACAGCCAGTGCCACTGTCAGTGTCCGTATAAGTCTTGCTGCTGCAGTTACAACTGTTCTTGCTATGCTGCCATAGTGGGTTTTGGTGTCGTCTTTGTTGCTACTGCTGATCTTGCTGGCATTGCTGGTGTTGTAATGCCATACATCGTGGTATGGTCCCTCCCCCCTCTTCCCGAAGACATCGGGATTCCCTTAAAACAAGTATTAGTCATATCACATACCCACCCGCTCACCCCCACACGCCCCCCTCCCCCCCCCCCCCCCCGCTCCCCCCCGCCACCACCCTCCGGCCTCCGGTCCATGAAAGGAGCAAAAGCTCGCAGCTTTCCCGCTCCCCCGGCCAAGCATCACTGATCAAGACCAGCTCTCTCAGCTTTCGCATATTGAGCTTCTGGCTTGTGCAATCAAAGCCATGTTTACCAGATTGAGCACTGCAAGCGAGATGCCGAGTAGTGTCCCGACTCGTGCTTCTTGTGCTGGCTTTCCGCCTGAAGCCAAACGCCACCCTCAACCACAAATCCACAAATGCCGCAGACGAGCACAGCACTGCCTTCGAGCCTATCGCCGCCATACCTGCAGATTTGTGTTGAAGCTTTGGGCCTCGTCGGAGCTTATGTCTTTCAGCAGCGCTTCGACTGCTGCGATGAGGTTTGACACCAGCTTCGATGGTGGTGCAGTACCTCGTCTAATCTCTTGCAGCGCTTAGTTCAAACAGAAGGGCAACGGTGATTTGTTCTGAAATCTGCCCAGGAGGACTGTGCTGTGCATGCAGAACCCCCCCCCCCCGGCCTCAAGCCGACCTGAACCCTGATCCCTGTAGCCTAAACCCCAAAAACCCCAACCCTTCCACACCAGGGGAGGGGCACTAAAATTAACTGCACAAGCCCCAAGCCATTCTATACGAGAGAAGACAACCAGGCATATACGGTTCATGCCGGCATCCTTTCGGCACATTTGCAATCAGCTGGGCCACCAGTTCAAGTTGACCGAATGTGCTAGAATACAGGCAAGAGTGGGCGCCCTCCCATGACTCGCATTGGGATGCGCTGGTTGTGAATAGCAGGGGGTGGAATTTGCTTGCTCGATACCCTCTGAGATATGCCGTGTCAAGCATCGCAGGCCCTGTTTCGGGTTGTTCTTACCAACAGGACGCAACTGCTCCTTGCCTGCAAAAAGGATGAAATTGCCTCACACATATACGGGCAGTTGAAGAAAGCAAATCCAGCTTGAATACCGAATCGCAGACACGGCTGTAAACTTCTCCATCCCCGCCAAGGCACCGTCCTCGAAAGGCATGTCAAGCTGCCGAACACCCCGCCTGTGCTGGCATTCTCAAGCCAGCTCTGAGCGAAGGAAACAGCTGTGCAACTGTAGAAAGGTTGCCGGCTCTGCAACACCGGCCTGTCAAAGAAATCACCGTAGGAACCCCCAGCTGGCAAACCTCACGCCAACAGACAACTTCACAAGAAGCATTCACAAGCCATGGGAAGGCCTCTTTCGTTGCTGTAGTTTCCTCGCACCAGCAAGGAACAACCTCCCGCAAAGGCAGTTGCGGTCAGCTCGGCTCGAGATGTTCAAGGCTCTGCACTCGCCACCCACCTCGCTCTTGCAAGAAGCTGGCAAATGCCGGCAGGTCTGCTGGACGCTTCATAGCACCGGTACCGTCTGAGGTATGAACCTCCAGGTGTCGAAAGCGTGCACACGGAAAGTCCCCTAACACAAGCCGCCATGCAGAACTTCAACCCAGCCTTTGTAGGGAGGGTGTGTGTCTCCGAGAACAGGGCAGAGATTGGTTGGCCGCGGCTCCGCTCGAGGCGCTTCGCGCGCTCTTTCCACACTTGCTTGGGTGTCGCAGCCGGTATTCCATCATCGTCCACTGTGTGAATATGCGAGAAGGACTTGAAGAGGCACACGATATCTTGCTTGCTCTTGCAAGACAATGGTGAAAAGATGGCACCTGGATCTGAGATTGACTTTGGTAAGCTGTTGGCGCTGTGCTCGGAGGGACCAGTGATTGCGGTGGAAGGAGAGTCGGGGACCAAGTTGTGCATGGCGTGGACTGTATGGCACTTTCGAACTGGATCTGGCCGCTTGGAAGAATCCTGGCAAAGCAAGCCAACAAGATGGATTCAGATCATGTCGATCAAGAATCAGTCCTCAACCGTCGTCACGGGATCAGCCGCTATCCAGAAGCGGATTGAGGCTATTTGCTCAAAGCTTTGGCAATCCAAACCCACTGAGAAGACCTTGCTGCTCAGTCCAAGGTCCAAGGATCGCAAAATTTCCCAGACTAACGAAGTGCTTTTGATGCTGAGCAGTCGCTGGCACAGCATCAAAAGCCGCTGCCGTTGCGCGCCTCTCCTCCGTCAGAGACTGACTGCAATCATCAATCCAACGAGACACCAAGCGACAGAAACTTCGAGATGCTCCGACTATCTCCGATTGTTCAGTGAGGCACCCGCCTGGCTTCGGTCCAGCCATCCCTTCGTGACTGCCGTCTCCAGGCCATGGAGACCTCTCCGGCTAGCCCGACGGCAGAGGCATGACGAGGCTTGCTAGAAAGCCGAAGCACAATCTTCCAGTCTGAGCGAATCTGCTGTGAAGTGTGGCTTTGCCTTGGTGCACGAGTGACGGCCAATTAGGCTGCAGGAAGCGCAGCGCACAGGACGCGGCTGTGAAGGGTGTCGGAAACCGCAGCTCCACCGGCGAGATTCGTCCACCCTCTTCGTCCAAGAGACTGATCACCTGCACAGAGATGAAGACCTCTGCGAGGAGAGCACCCGTGCACCCGCAAGCCTCCTCAGCAGACCATTGCTGTTCAAGGACCAAGAACGCCCCAAGAAGCAGCAGGGAGTTGGACACCTCGGCGGAAGCATCTCGCAGCACAGTGGAGGATTGGCGGCAAAATCCATATCAAGACACAGCTCCAGGTCTCCGGGAACATGTCAGGCATATGCATTCTTTGGGATCGACCTGCCACAAGCTCTGCACTAGGGGCATGCGAGGCAGGAGACAGGAAGCAACATTAGAACCTATGACGACTGTGACCAACCTCTTGCAGGCTGGTCTGCAGAAACGTGCAGAAGTCCAAAATCGTATCCTTAGCCAAAGATGCAGCCTTATGCATCGCTGCTCCAAGGCTCATAAAATTTCTGTGTCTCTTCACCGAGCTTCGAGGCCGAGAGGACCATACAAATGTACAGCTCCGAGCAAAGAGTCGGAGAAGAATGGCAGTTTGAGTCTCAGGTGAGCCTCAGAGAAGACAAGGATGTACATATATATATATATGTATGTGTGTATGTATATGT